GGTGTGCCGATGCTTACGCCTACGATTAAAAGTGTCAATCGGTTGCTCTTCATATTGAAAATTATGAACCGTTAAATGTTTATCTGATAGGCAACCAAAGAATTAAGGAGTACTCACAAATGTTCTCAAGTGATAATAACACCATTATCAGATGTCGTTATCCTTGGACCTTCTTTCTTCCACGGGTACATCATTAGTTGAGAATATCAAATTATTGGCGGTCGGAAGAGATTTGCGTAAATGATATCAAAACATAAAGTAATCTTGATCTTCCCCCGAGTACTTGCTGGGTAGCGGTCGTAATCTATATAATAGTCGTAGTCATAAATACATCGTTAATACCACACGAGTTAAATTCAGTTGGTAACCTGGCACCAACCGTTCTCGATCCCTTCACCGAGTACCTACGATCCTGTCACATCTTTCATAACCTATCAAAATTCCAATTTTCCATTACTAACAGAAAGTGCGTTACAGATCTAGTGGCTCTCGCCTTCTATTGTTTATTATCAGTCCCTATCACTTGCTATACTCGCTGTCACCAATCATTTACTGTCCCTTCACATCCTGCGTCACCTACCAAAGTGCCAAGACTTCATCGTTGAATGAAAGGGAATTATGGGTCCTGTGGCTTTTGCCTTTTAGGGCTCCTTATCAGTTCCTATCAATTGTTATCACGTCCTTCACCCTGCCATCAGTGTTCCCATGCTGTCATCTGTATTACTTGCAAATTTGAATTTTCTAGGTTCAATGAAACAGGAGTTATGAATTTTCGGTCAGACAAACACACACACAAACACACCAACGGACACACTTAGCCGATTATGTAAGTAGGATGGTTCTCTCTTCTTGAACTCAAACGAGGTTGATAGAAAATCTTTATCTTACGCTTCGGCATGGATCGCCTTCTTCGGAGCCTGGAAAGGTCCATGTATGTGTAAGTTCACATCTTTCCATCGTGTAATTCGATATTATCCAAATCTTTGGAAAGGGGTTTAAACAGTTGTTCCGTATATTTCGAAAAGCTTACAGCATTGGACATCTTCCTAGAACGCTTACCAACCTCAGTATGGATTAGTCTCTGTATCATACTGTAAGCCATTATTAAATCTTTTAGATTTCGGCAGTGGTATACATCAAGCGAGTACAATGTCAGTCAGAAAGCGGAGAGATGTTTATGAAGAAGGCTCTTTTCCATCTGTGGTCTTTGCCGATGTACTTGGAGCTGTCTCTTGAAATTTAGGTAAGGCGATGAAGGAACTGACTCGGATAGCTGCTATCCAAACCACTTAGGAGTGGTAGCGCACGAGGCACGAGAGCTTCAGACTATGACGTGAGAGGCTCTCAAAAAGAGTCAATTGTTAAATTAAAAGTCAACTTTTCGAAGATATCCACTGTAACCATGTAATCCCACGATTCGACTGATCACTACCGAGAGACATGCTGTTTCATAGTGATCACGTATTTTCTGACTTGGTTAGGGAATCTCCTCCGTGCAGGAGTGCAACCAAGGATTCAGTTGGATATAGCGCACTCAACCTCTTCTGCTCTCTCCCCATCATACAAAAATCCCATGAGAGTACAGAGATCTTGAGAGAGATCCACAGCCATATAGAAGTGCCGGCCTGCGAAACCCGTGTAGAACCGTCACTTCTTAGCGGCGATTAAACTTGGACGATGTAAAAAAACCAGAGCGTAATAGTGGAAACCGCACAGTGAAAACGATGCGAAAAATTCTAGGTGTAAGGCTTGTCAATCGCGGTATCAGTGCCTGGTGAGTGAGGCAGTCAAAAGTGAATGGATATGGATGACAGAGGTCTGAGAAGGAAGACAATAGATTGTTGAAAATGTTCATCAAACGGAGACCGTGAAAGTGGAAACGACCTAGTGGGTGACCCCTCTTGCATAATACTCATTTGGGGGACTGCTTTCCATTTTCATTCCGCAAATTCCGGTGTTTAGACTGCACTGTTCCATGCCTGACCAAGAACTTTAACACAAACACTACAGACTCTGAGTTGATATCATTGCAGACCAACGCTACCGCAGCACTTGGTGTTCGTTCATTCTTCTTCGTTCAGACCCTACACTTCTCAGTTTTCTACCTACCGGTTTCCTCCTTCCTTACGGGTTCATTCTGCGCCTGAATTCTGTTTCGATTAGCAAACGATTGACGTCTCGCGTAACTGCTCGATTCTCTGAAACCAGCGAACAAGTTTGTGAGACTATTTATCTCCACCGGTTTGTGCCCCTCACTAAGGTTCCGCGCTGTAGATGCACGTTACGAACTTTAGCAATAACACAGTCTTTACGGATCTACAGAATACGCCAGGTTCATTGCGAGTCGAGCAAAACGACCTACAAGCCACCCTTCTCACTTTTCTGGTTTGGAACGTGATTACAAATTTCGATGCACTCCTTCCTACAAAGGCTCCTTCAACTTCACTGTTCTTTCTGTACACCCAAGTTCATTCCGATTTACTCTAAACACGACCCGGCCTTTTCTAATGGACCACTATGGACCACTTTGGCTTCTTGATACCTTCTACAGTAAATCGTATATTATATATAAAGAAAATTTAGCAAGATTGTCCCTGATAACCGACGGCAACTCCCACACTCCCTCAGTTGATTACTAACCAGGTGACTAATTGTAAGTGGCTACCTTCATGCTCTGCTGTTGAATGAAAATTCGTAAAGGCAGCAGTGGCTGATTTTCCATATTTATAAAGGCTTCGACTATCGAGGATTGCGGTGGTCGTAATGTTATTGGGGTCGGGTCCAGTTCCACGAACACTTGGTCAAAATTGTTTCATGAATTAAGCTATCGCTCGAGTCGCCATGACTGCTCAATAGAAAAGAAGTGGCAATATTTCTGTGAGAGATTCACAAGGCGCTGTTGACGAGGTCTCATTTACGAGGAGGAGAAACGACCAGAGCAGTTCATGCGCATGCATTTCATAGCAGAAGAGTAAGGCATTGGAATTCCTTGGCAAACACACGATTCTTTGCTTATCACTATTGTTCCTTCTCAACTTTCGTAGAGCTTGACCTAATTAACATTGTCTACACTAGCAATGCATGATATAGACAATGAGTATTGAATTGAAAGAGTCATAGTAATCAATAATACTACAAGTTCCATCAGCTAAAATGCCTATAAAAATCGGAGGACTGGCCGCAGTTATGAGCGGGCAAAGGATCGCTGAAAGAAGACATGATCCTACTGCCCTCCTGAAATCGGTAGGTTTCAATAGCTTCAGTAATTAAATCGAACTTGCTGTGATTAATAAGTGATACATTTAATTTGTTCAAACAAATCTCCTTCCATTTACACTCGCTTTGCGAGTCATCATTAACTTATGTTGTCGTAAGATATAATCGTTACCACACCATACCAAAGAGCTTTGCCTGATTGACAAAAGCACAGCCATCCCATACAAATCCTGAAAATCCTCTCCTAAAAAGTAAAAAAAAAAAGTTTCAAGTCTTAAGAAAAAAATTTCGACATACCCCGAGCTTTACGTCCTCTCGAGGTCAAAGGAAACCAAGGCTGTTCGAGACCTTCGAGTTACATAATGGTACTAGGAGGAGGAAAGGGTCGACTGAATCCTTGTGAATGATTTGCTAACTTTAAGAATGGCAATTTCAAATTGCAATGGCCACCTCTTGGCTTATTGCTGACGTGAACTATCCCAAAGCGCTATCAAGGTAACACAATAATAAAACAATGGGATGTACGGAGGAAGTGATCATGGAGGTGTTTTGTAATATAAGCATAATTTCGAATAACCATTCCTAAGGGCGACTTGAAGTGAAATTCGTGGAGGAAAAGAGGAGAAAAGTCGCTGAAATTTACCATTCAGACCCGAACTTGAAGCCGGATCACATAAATTCTCTTTACACCTCGTGTACATGAATAATTGGGCAGAGTGCAAAAATTATTGTTGTACTGCAGACAAGTAATCGCTACCAGCTAGAAACTCAGCGCAGAGGCAAGAGCCAGTCCATGATACTTGGAACTCTCAAACCACCTGTGTTCTATCGAGTCATTCAATTCAAATGGGCATCTCGGCCCCAATTTAGGCGAGCCCTCCAAAATGTTTTTTTTAGAAAAAAACTCATACAAACTCATACATTTTTAAAACTGCAGATTGTATTTTCAGATTATACGCTCATCTGCTCTTCACATCGGTCTTATCGTTGCGTGCGTCATTTATATCTACGTTGGCGCCCTCATGTTCAAACATTTGGAATTTCCTCATGAGGTCAGTTCCTACATGCTGGGAAATACTGCTAAAATAGCCGCTCCACAATGCTATACATAGCATGGATGCGGAGCTATGTTTGAATTATCTGAGTCTTGGGCGGGTTTTGAACCCGAACTTGTGAGGATGAGGAAAGCTTGGAAGGGAGCGGGAGGGGCGCGATAAAGGTTGAACGATGTAACGGAGAAGAACTCTGTACCTGGGTGCACAAGTTTAGATGAAGAGCATCCGTGGTCTAGTGATGTGACCCATTACTTCACATTTCAGTAGTAGCTTTCGTGTTTCATCAATGCGCTATTAACCAGCACTCGACAAAACCCAAAGCTTCTTGTCTTGATTTACTTGATTTACGTAGCACGAAATCGCGTATTTTTGGTATTTCTGTCACCTTAGTAGGATGAACTGGCGGAAGGTGAGAAGGTGACCAGTGTTGAATCCTTTGCTGAGGAGGGAAGAAAAGGTGCTAGCTGATGTCAGTTTTGATCACGACTGCTTACTTGTTGTGTTGGAAGAGTCGCAGCCCAATATCTGTTATTGTAGTAATGACATCTGTGTAGATAGGTACTCCAGTGCAGCACAAACCATTTCAACACTGAATAGAATGTGTGCCCTTGCGGTTAGGCGTAAAAAATATCATCAGCGTACTTTTTTAACGCCTATTTTCTATTCCATGCACTATTCCCACCGGGTCCGCTGCTCTTTGTGATAGTTGAGATTCTTCAAAAATGATCACGTTGTCTTGTGATCACAACTAGCACTTTAGATGGAACTTCGCAGTGCGACTGCAACGCGCTTCACTGAGATGCAGAATATGTTTGTGGCTAAGGCGTCAGCTTTCAGAACAGAAGCAAATGACGGTTAGTTCTTTGTGCATTGGAGCATTTAATTGGCTATACCGCTGGTTTAACCCTTTGACGACAGCGCGGCTCAACGGTGAACCACGGAAGCGGAAAGCTTCGAAATGCGTCTGTCCCGCGCGCCAGACACGCAAAAAGGCGCGCTGTCGTCAAAGGGTTAAAGCAGAGTTGAGGCTCGAATATACAGGTAGACCGTGTGATAGTTGCAGAATGAAGAGTGATGTCTGTGTTGATACCCTGCGCTCATCGCTTAGCCTCTGTTCATCTGGCTAAACACGCAGTTTTCCATATCTGAGCTACATGAAAAATGAGTNATTCGATGCTATTTCTGTGTATGCCCTATTGATGGCTTTCTTACAGATTTGAGATACACTAACGCAACACTCGAAATTCTTATCGACGAATATCTCGAGAACTTATTCGTCGAATTTGATAATCCTGTATGTTCAAGCAGAGGTCTTGGGGAAGACGGTTGGGCAGTTCACGCTTCGATTTCAGATTGCCAGAAACTATTTTGACTCTATATTTTACAATAATGGCGAATACGTCGAATCGTGGACCATGGATTCGGCTGTGCTATTCACTGCCACAACATTGGTTCCAGTAGGTAAGAATTAAAATGTTTTCATCCAAATTCGTAACTAAATAGGCTCTTTGAGAAATACAAACACATGCAAACATACAAACTCACAACAGAGTCTAACATCTTCGTGACCAATTTCACAGAAGGGAACTAAGAGCGTCATAAAGGAAAAACCATAAAAATGAACATCCTACTCTATCATTTTTTTGTAGATAAGTACTAAAAACTATGGAAAAAAACTAGCCATTCAAACCATCCAAGCCATTTAGCCATTTTTGAGAGCCATTCAATTAGTTCCTTCTTCTATCCTTACTTTACGCGCCTTAGCACACGAAACCATTAGCAGTGCTTGAGAAACTTTCTCAAAGTGGAAATAAGAGGTAAATAAGAATGTTCCGATCAGACTGTACAGTTTATGATTTGCTAAGCTCTTCCATAACCTCATAGCTGTGAAAACAAAAAGTTCTGTGGTGTTTCTGTGTTCCTTTTCTTGGTTTTCCTACGAACGACTAAAGGACACTGTCGTTCGTAGGAAAACCTACCCATACACGAAAAGCGTGGACTCATACAATTCAGGGTTTTCCATGAAGTTGTGGCTAATATGCAATTTATTTAACCGGAATTGCATGACACGTCGTTAAAAAATGGAAAATCGCTAGATTAACCCCGGGAAAGGCAATCTGAAATAATCTTCTTAGTTATGTGAAAGCAATTAGATCATCTTTCTAGTGTGCGGTTCTACATGAGGTTCAACGTGAGTGCAGCTAGGCAAAATTTCGAAGGCCATCGTAGTCACAGGTAGAAGTTGTACACAGCATGCAATACAGGGAAGGTTGATCACATCGCTGACTATCCTTTTGAAACTCTTGACGCATTCATTAAAAAACGCTACTTTTCCTATTGTCTGCCCTTATGCTTGTGGTTCACTTATGTAGAAATATGTGCCTTAACTCTAGCAGTTGTCCCTAGGCTCTATTGGTTAAAAAAACCAAAATTTATTTTTGTTTGTCGCTAATGGGTAACCTTAACTCATTTTGCAATCGCTCAGGAGATCTTACCAAAATCGACATTTTAGCCTGAGTTCCAATTAACATACGGTACACCTACACCACTTCTCATTCATCGACTCCAACCATTTCCCGAAATCCTCGTCAGCTTTTACTTAGTTTTCGTGCCTTCGTAGTGGAACTGCGGGCACTGAGACACAGCTCACGATAAAAATGGCTTATGAGATGTCGTGCTAGGATGAATCTGTGGCCCTCCCGTGCAACATATGTGGCACTGTCAGATCGGAAAATGATGTAGATAGGGCGTTATAAAGGCTCAAGAATTGTCCTTTATGTATGCGCGGACGAGTTTCAACGGTGTTGCAGAGGCTGCACCGTTCACAGAGAAACCCACGTAGGTAGTTCAAATAACTTGTCATGACTCATGGCGACAGTGGAAGGCAACTCTGGACAGTTTTGGCTCGATGTAGTCAGCTCTTTGCGTAGTTGCAACAACTGAGGCTCGTCCAAACATTCCATCAATGTCATTTCCGTCATGGTATCTCGTGCAACCTCTACTTTAACAACTTTTGGAAACCTTATTTTTGGCAAGGCAGTTTTTTTCTCGCTTTTTCGCCACCGCTGCACTGTTTTTAATCACCGTTTTCCGACTTAAAAAGATTGCCTCAGAATTGTCGTGAACTGTAGCGTTAAGCATATGTACCGTCTATGACGATGCTTAATCGGCCAACTAAGCTTCCACCGTTTATTCCTACTCCATAACAATAACAGCCTATCACAGCTTGTCACAGGAATTATAACAAAATGTGGCTACGACAGGGTAAAATTGAGGGGTTGATTAATATTCTAGAGCTTCGCTGTAGAAGGATTAGCAACTGCGAAAAATGATCTGATAGATTGTAAAGAGGACCTCAACATTTTTACCGCTTCCACATAGTATGAGCATAAATACTGATCCTTAGACACTAATATTTTATGTGATTTAAAATCACGTTCAGGATTCGGCCTTGTCACACCTCTAACATGGTGGGGTCGTCTTTTTCTCATCATCTATGCCATTTTCGGTATACCATTGGCACTTGTCACGATTTCTGATATCGGGAAGTTTTGCTGTGACTCGGCCTTCAAGTTCTTTCGAGAGGTTCGTAACTTATCAGGTAAAGGCTACCTTTACATTCAGCTTTCTTTTGTTTCAGTCCACAGTCATGTTCATGGCGGTTCTTGTCATACTACTGTTATTGTATCCGTTCGTGGGAGGAGTCTGCATCCACAAAGTGTCGCATTTATCATTGTTCGACAGCATCTATTACTGTTGTATCACAATTCTTACTGTCGGATACGGCGATATTGAGTAAGGACTGCTTCTGAAGAGCTAAACTATTCTGAACCTTTGTGAATGTGACGCATAAAATCAAGTGGCTCGAGGGTTGTCAGAAAACAAAACTGCTGAGCAGGTTTTTCCTTCGACCCAAGTCTACTGAAAGTCGTTGCTTTCAAAGTGAAATTCGGGAAGGAAATACTATTGTAGATACAGTCGCTTACTATGTTTCAGTGATTGCGTAATTGAGCTTTCCGGGCACCGTGCTCTTTATTCCTTACACTACCCCGCTTGCTCCCACTTTCATGACTTATAAGCCGTGAATATATAGAGGGCTCTCTTCAGGGAGTCGAAAGCAAGAAGCTTTCAAGCTCTGAAGAGAGCCCTACATATTCATCAAAGCAATCATGACGCTGGCATAGTAAGACCGCCGGTAAGCAATACACATGGATCGTGCTTCTACCTTCAAAATGAGGTCTGGAAGCACGTAGCAGGCAGAACGTTTGTGCTGCAAAAAGTAGCAGTGTATGTATGAGTGTCTTGTGCATTGCCCTAGAAAGTGGCTCTTTTACCAAACGCGGAAGTTAGCACCGCTCTGGTCTAGTGAGAAGTATCGTAAATGTTTTTGAATATATTATATGCCGTTGATTACGTGAATGTAACTCATTTACTTTGGATTTATTGTGAATTTACACGTTTGAGAGACTACTAACATTTCAGGCCACCTATATCCGTACCATTCCTAATATTATTCATATTCGTGGGGGTGACATTGGTGACTATATCAGGTCAGTGGGAAGCAACTCGTTAATTATGGTATTTTCGAACAGGGAACGAATTATACAATTTGAAAGTGATAATTTCCTAGCAATCGGACATGTTTTCAGTAGACGTAGTAGCAACAAATATTATCCATCAAGTGCACTACATGGGAAGGCGAATGGGAAAAGCGCGGGTGATAGCCGACAGAATGGTACAGGTAAGATCGCAAACACCTTTTACAGTGATCTCAAAGTAAAGTTGAACATGGTTAGGCGCAAAGCATTGGGTTCCTCATGACACAATAAATAAAGCCCTGGATGAAGAAGTTCTACTTTCAGTTAAGACCCTGACCACGTCGACTCATCACCATTTTTTCCATAGAGCGTTACCCTCAGTGTCGTGCTGAACTGCCTACTCCTGCTAGCATCAGCGTTCCCGCATGCTGGCTATGCCAGAATGTGAGATTTAGGAGCACACACACTAAGGCACATAGCACACACACGCACTAAGGGTATACGTAGCGCCAAGGGCAGTTGCGTCAGGACGATCCTGCTGCAGGCTAGGAAAGGCCTGTTCCCTTGTACGTCAAACCATATGCCCTGGCTACGATGTCTGCGCGGTACTTTAGGGCTGATTATATAACAACTCGTTTGATTATAAAACAAGAATAGGATACTACCTTCATAACGTGCGGATATTACATTTCAGCACTTCGATTGGTAGAGGCAAATACGTAAATGGAATTCTATGACGTATTGCCATTCTACTGAATATACGCAGAAGTGTAACGACTACACTGCGACTAACCTAAAGTTTAGACGAGACGTGAGGAGTAGGTAAGATGAGATGAGGTGCGACGATCGACGCTTAAGGGCGATGCCCTTTGGAAGAGGAGAAAAGAGCACGCGACGACCCACCAACTTCCAGACCGGACAACTACATACGAATGGCTAACTGAAGCCAAGACAGAGATAGCAAACTTGTAACCATTTTCCCGCGCTTCTGGAAATTTCGGCCGGTTTGCGCCAGGACCGATTTTAAGCGGAGTTGGAGTGCGGTTTCCTATGCACCCTGTTAATGCCGAAAAAAAAAAGACTGAAGAAACTAGTATGAAGCTTGGAAAGAATGATTTGCAAGACCTGCAAGTCAGCCAGAAGTCGAGTGCTATCTCAATCCACCTATGCAAAGGTCATCCATTGAAGCGCTTGCGTACAAGGTGTTAGAAAGGTTGCCTCAAGCGGCTGCTCACATTAGGTTCAACTTTTTTCGTCTGTAATGGAGCTTTGTCTAGAATCCCTTTAGGGACATGAAAATTCATATTTTTATCAATTTCCAATTTTCGTAGCTATTTCATTTTTATGTCAACCTCTGTCTATTTCAACTAGTTGAATCGTTTCAGGCGTTCATGATACACATTTTAGATCGCATGCAGTAATTACAATAGATCAAAATCACTTAAATTATTGTTCATCATGACTAAGTCGCTATGAGCAAGAATAATTAAAGTTCAGATGGCTCAGAAGATTAATATCAATAAGGGACTTGGACTTGGCATGACACAACTGGGTGCCTTTGCTCGCATTGGAGTCATGATCAACGTAAGTACGCTTATTAGGCAGTACCGAGTAACAAATTGAGATATTTCAGCTGACTTCCAATGGAAAGAAGATATCTAACCAAGAAAACGGAGTCGAACAGCGCTTTGGTACCGCATATGATCCAGACTCCGATTTCGACCTTATTGATCGACTGAGTGAGTGGGAAAGCGTAAAATATACAAAGTGATCATAATTTATGTAATGTTGTTCTGTATATTGTTCTGTATATTTACCTTCGAGGAGAGAAAGGGAATTGTGAAACACTCAACTTCTGTGTAATTGATATCAGAAAAGGCGAAGGGGTACTGAGCCGAAGATTATATCAGCTCTTGAGGAAACGGTTGATGCGCAGAGTGGGAGAACCGAGACAAGGCTCCGATTCCTTTGCAGCATTAAGAGCTGTTGACGATTATTTTGAGCGTCTCTATTCAAAATACCACACAATTTTTCGTGAAGCTCCGGCATAAAAAAACACAGGCACTCAGGTTACTACGGTTGCTTTTCTGATGTAAAACACTTCGTTTAGTCCCAAAATACTATCTCGGTGGCTACGATAGTGAAGACAGCAGTGTCATCAGGAACTGACCCGTGATACATGCCAAGCTCCTACATGCTGTGCATTCAATTTCTATTATGGCATTCGTGAAGTTATCGATAGCTGATTCATATTGTATAACTGAAATGAAGAAGGATGGTTAGGAACTGTTGATGGAAGCAACAATGTCAAACAATACAGAACAAAGATTTGGAAAATTCCTCTCAATCTGAGCTGCCAGAGAGTTCTCGCTAACACAAATCGTTCTACATTACTTTTGTTAGAAACAGCATCTGTTAGAGAATTTTACGATCTGAGGTTCGGGCACTTAAGAAAGAAATCTTGCTGAGGCTCTGAATTACTACCATGAAATTATGCAAGTTTACAACTACACTTCAAAGATAATGATCAGGCTGGAAATAGAAGTAACCAGCATTGTAGGGCAAATGATCGAGGCTTCGGACGTTTTCACGCTTTTCTAGAGAGCGTATATCGACAAAAGTTTCATTGTTCTTCCTCATCACCACATGTCCAGGTTTTCTATGCCACTATCAGATCGTTCTCGAAAAATAGCTCCTATTTCGATATTGTTTTATGTGATAAGTTCGATGTGTATTTGTTTTCTGAAACCTGGTTCAAAAGTCAAAATCGTGTTGCGTCTATGCTTGGTAGCTGGATAAATGATTATGCTGTGCTTCGTTGCGACAGGAGCCATAGGGCTGGAGGAGGGGTAGC